GATGCTTTTGTGCTGGTGGCTCTTTCTGACCTGGTCCTATGAAGAGGTAGGTCTGTGACACCTAAGCTGTTCAGATTAGACCAGGCACCCAGCTCAGCACCCTGGGAACGCCAGGTCAGCCACTGTTGGCTGGTCCCATAGGCAAATCCAGCCTGCAGCTGGGCGCTGACCCCTGCCGGACACCTGCCTTACTCTTTCCTTAGAAAGGACTTTTCTTGGAAAAGGGCCTCAGAAGAGCCAATAAAAAAGTCAGTAGGGAAGTTATCGTTTAATGGGAACAGAATTTTCATTTGGGATGATGAAAGAGTTCTGGAGATGGATGGTGGACATGGTTGCACAATAATGTGAATGTACTTAATTATTAAAAAATAACTAAAACAGTAAATTTTATGTTGTAAATATTTGACCACAATTAAAACTCAAAAAGGAAAGAAAGAAATAAGAAAAAAGAGCAATCTATAGCAGTCACTCTGAAGTGGAGGGATTAACATTTTACTGAGCCACAGCTGAGAGCTGGGAATGTGCTAGGAATCCATAGAGCTTTGTAAACCTTACAGGGACAACAGCGAGTGGGCACGATGAATGATGTCATAGCAACATGGATGGAGACCAGAATTGAAGTGACTTTCTTAAGATTACATGGGAGTGGGAGGTCCATCGTTCGAACCCAGGTCTTTCTGAACTTATTTGGCCATAGGTGTCCAGGTCTAAAGGAAAGCTGGAAAAACTGGAGCAAAACAGTTTGGGGTTTGGGTCTTGTCCAGAGGGCTTTTTAAAATGGTACAAAAGTACTGGGAAGATTCATTTTGTTGCTTTTGTGTCTCTTCCTGGGGTCCTCACCCTTCTTGAATGGAGGAGCAGTCATTGCTGGCAGGCAGCACATGGCCCCTCAGGGAGAGGGGGACCCAGTGGAAATCTCCACTTGCTGGCTTTGGTGCTCAGATAAGGGTCTGGAGATTCCGTTTTGTTGTGGCTACCCCCAGAATGGTCGTTCCTGAGCTGCCTGAGTGACAGCCGGATGTGCTGCTGGGTGCGGTCCCATTCGGACAGTCCATATCCACCGCACACCCGTGGTGCTTCAGGCCAAGATAAGCAAGCTCCTCGCTAGTCTCCCCCTCCCCTCCCCTGCCCAGCAAGCCCAGGTCCCGCGCTGCCTCGCCTGCCTGCAGCTTTCACTGGAGCCCGGCCATACTCCTGCCACCATTCTCATTCTGATGTTGTCTTTTCCTTTCCCCCTTATCTTTGCCCTTCTTGATTTCGAACTTGAATAGAAAACTTTTTGTTCCTGCAAGTGGAAACTCCCTCGTCCTCTCTCATTCGCTGTCAGCCTTCCTGTCGTGTTTCCTCAGGCTCGAGGCATGTCCTGGCTTTCGGGGGTTTTCCACCCAGCAGCCCTCTGTGGAGACCGCGATCTGGCCTCCATAAGGAGCCACACAGGTACCCTCCCACCCCCTCAGCTACCTGTGCCAGCCTCTGGGCTACCCAGACAGTATCGTCGTCCTCAAGCTTTGAAACGTAGCCTGTGCCTGGTTGCACCTGGCTTGTCCATCTTGAGCTGACTTTATTTCTTTTATTTTCTGTGAAGTAGGCCCTCTGAAATAAAATGATCTGTAGGCAGCACCGAACTTGGGGCGCGGGGCGGGGGGGAGGGGGAGTGGATGTGGAAATCAACATTGAAAATGAAATTATGCGGGGAGCTTAAAGTGGTGTCTTTAAGTTTTTGATTTCTTAATTTTATTTTATTTTTTTAAAAATATATTTTACGATTTTTTTACAGAGAGGAAGGGAGAGGGATAGAGAGTTAGAAACATCCATGAGAGAGAAACACCAATCAGCTGCTTCCTGCACACCCCCTATTGGGGATGTGCGGGCAACCAAGGTACATGCCCTTGACTGGAGATTTCTTAATTTTATTTTTAAAAATTTATTTTTATCTTATTTTTAAAACTTTAAAGCTTTAAAAAACAAACAAACCAAAAGCAAAACAAAATCATGTTTAATAAAAGTCATACAATTTATACTATAAATCTAGAACATTTTAAAGAAAAAGATTAAAAGTCAGATAATCCTTCCATGTAGACATAATTTGTTAGCATGTGGGTGTGTGTTTTCATATACACATATACTTGTGTTGTCTTTCTTTAAAAACAAAGTGGAGATCTTACTGTTTCCTTTTCTCTCCCCCATATTATACTGAAAGCATTTGGGCATTTTCCCATGCCATTAAATGAAGCTTAAAAGCATCCCTTGGATAGGCCCTGGGTTGATTCCCTTAGGGGGAATGCACTCACAGTGTTGCATGGTTGTAAATAACATCCTTGTAGTCAAATCCTGTGACCTCACCTGTGATTATCTCCTTGGGAGGGGATCCTAGAAGTAGTCTTATTGGATAAAAGGATGTACGAATTTTTGCATTTCTTCTGTGTGCATACATTGTTTCCTAAGACAACTTGTACTAAAATAGACATTCCTCCAGCAGAGAACGAGTGTCTGTTTTCTCTTTAGCATTTTGTGTTCATAATCGTCGGTAATTTGTGAAGTGAAAAGTGCTACCTCACTGGTCTCATAATGTAAAATCAATTATTAGTAAGGTTCAGTTCTTTCAATGTGTGTATTGGCCAATTTTATTTCTTTCATTGGTTTGTTCACATCCTTTGGCAGCTAGTCAGCGAGGTGTTAGCATTCTTCTTGTACATTTGGAAGAGCTCCTGTGGCAGGAACCCTTTGTCACAATTACAGGCATTTTCTGCACCAGCTTATTTGCCTTAGTTTTGTTGATTGTATGTATGAGTTTGTGTGTTTATATGTGAACAAGCTTTTTATTTTCAGATAGACAGATCTATGTTTATGTGTGTTGTTTTGTTTTTGTTAATACTGGCCTGAGGATATTTTTTCCATTGACTTTTAGAGAAAGGAAGGAAGGGAGGCAAGGAGGGAGGGAGAGAGGGAGGGAGGGAGGGAGGGAGGGAGGAAAGAGTAGAAGACACTGAAATAAACTTGGCTACTTGCTAGTGGCCTCTGCCATCACTTGATAGAAGGGATGTTGGAGATAAAATGGGAAAAATTAGAGAAACATTGATATGAGAGACACATTGATTGGTTTCCTCCAGTACATGTCCTGACCAGGGGCGGGGATGGAACCTGTAACCCAGGTACATGCCTTTGACTGAGAATCGAACCCTCAACCCTTTGGTGTGCAGGCTGACGCTCCAAACATTGAGCACACTAGCCAGGGCAGATCCATGTTTATGTTTTTTCTCTCTCTTTTATGCTTATTATAAGTATTCAAGGTTTTCTTCTAAGTTTGGGGGGGGGGGGTAAAACTTTTAGTTTGACTCTGTAATCCACCTGAAGCTTATTTTGGTGAAAAGTATGAGTAATAATCTGTATTTGTTCTCAAAAGATGCCTTTCCCAGCTCAGTCTCTTGAAATATGATTCCTCTCCTCACTGACCCGTAACATAATTCTCATATGTTGGAGCCCTCTTTCTGAACCATCTATCATTTTTGATTGTCAGATGCTGCTTCAATTAAAGCAGCTTTGAGCCCTCCTTATCGCTCTCTCTCAAGATAATTTCATACAAAGTTAAGAGTCACTTTGTGTTGGTCAAAAAAGAAAAATTCCCCCTGAGAATCAATTCAATGAAAAACAGTGGGACTTCAATTAAAAAAAAAATGAGTGGCATGAGTAAGGATCCATTTCCCAAAATAAGACTTTGCGCCGTTGTGAAAATTCAGTCAGGCATCGCACCACGTCTGTGCACCAGCTGAAGAATCCACAGGACAGTAAGCTGTCAGAAAGGGCTCCCAGGCTCCCGCAGTGAGAGAACTGGTGCTATTTCCAGTCCAGAGGCAGCCTCTGGTTTTCGGATGCTGCCATGTCCTGGCTTACATATCTTTTATTAGGGTCACAGCTTCGTGTTCTGAAAACAGAGGCGGTTCCAGTGCTGTTGGTCCACGGGGGCTCCTCTGCCCTTTCCTATCTGGGTGGAACCTCTCACCCGAGGGCGGATACATGGGTGTCTTCCCAGCTGTGAGATGACCAGCAGTTTCCTGATCTTGGCCCCTGGGGCTCCACAAAGGTTCTTCAGGGATTTTACAATCTGTGACGCATTTTATGCCCAACTATCAAGATTTGAATCGGCTGAGTGTTGCAGAGCTTATTTTATGTATTTGTTCTCTGTAGGGTTTTGTTTTGCTTGTTGCTGAAATGTTTGCAAAGTACTGACCTAGATAGTCTAAGGCAGTGGTCGGCAAACTCATTAGTCAACAGAGCCAAATATCAACAGTACAACGATTGAAATTTCTTTTGAGAGCCAAATTTTTTAAACTTAAACTATATAGATAGGTACATTGTTATTAACTTAATTAGGGTACTCCTAAGCTGGCCTTTGCTAAAAACGTCCTCAATCTGAATGAGGTACGTTCGCTGAGGTTGACCGCTTCCAACTCGTCTTGTGTACTTGTTTGTCTATCTCCTTTCGTTCATCTTCTCTATATGTCCAAACCATCTCAACATACCTTTCTCAATCCTTGATGCTACATCTTCTTTCACTCCACTACGTTCCCTGTACGTGCACGCCCGCACATGGTATTTTGTGGAAGAGCCACACTCAAGGGGCCAAAGAGCTGCATGTGGCTCGCGAGCTGCAGTTTGCCGACCACTGGTCTAAGGTCTTAGAGTTGTAAAATCATAGAGTTTTATACTCTATGTAGTCTCCAGGTGTCAAATTCTGTGCTCCTATAGGATCCCATATTTTCTCTCCTCACCCCCGCAGCCCGCTTTTTTCCCCTTCCTTCTTCCTTCCTTCCTTCCTTCCTTCCTTCCTTCCTTCCTTCCTTCCTTCCTTCCTTCCTTCCTTCCTTTCTTTCTTTTGTTTCCCTCATTGCCTGGTGGCTTGGGATATGCTCATGATTATAACCAGGTGTGAGTTCCTCCCTCATTCATCTTTGTGCCACCAGGAGCAGTTCATGACATGAGCTGTGTTCTTTCTGTCTCAGGCGGGGAACGTGGTGACAGGGGAGATGGTGGAAGAGCTGATTCTCTCTGGAGCAGATATAATCAAAGTGGGAGTTGGACCAGGTAAGACTTGCCGGGAGAACAGCAGAGGGTGTGTGTGTGGCGGGGGCAGGAATGGGGTCTGGGCTCACAGGGGCTGGAGATGGCCAGAAGGGAGCCCACGAGTGACCCACCCACAAGTTTAAAGTACATTTCTTTTGGATCTCATTGAGCTTCCACAGAAGCTCCCCATTAGAAATGTCATTGAGTTGCCATCTGATGCCCCCGGGTAACTTGTCAAGGAGCGTGGGAGTGGTTAGGATGTGAGATCCAGGTTTTAGAGCAGTGATGGTGAACCTTTTGAGCTCGGCGTGTCGGCATTTTGGAAAACCCTAACTTAACTCTGGTGCCGTGTCACATATAGAAATGTTTTGATATTTGCAACCATAGTAAAGCAAAGACTTATATTTTTGATATTTATTTTATATATTTAAATGCCATTTAACAAAGAAAAGTCAACCAAAAAATGAGTTCACGTGTCACCTCTGACACGTGTGTCAGAGGTTCGCCGTCACTGTTTAGAGTATAGCTGTGGAAGAGAAACATGCAGATTTCGTTCATGACCACAGACACTGTGAGAGGAAGGTGAGGGGTGAAGAATCCCTGAAACAGTTCATGGACATGAATGACCCAGGTTTCCGTGAGTGTTTGAGGGACCCCAAACACGGCAACTAGCATGCGGCTGAGGCCATATTGAACTTGACCCGTGTGTCGCCCAGGTAGTTAGCACTTGGGCTTCTCACTTGGTACATATCCATATCAGATTTGCCCAGTTCTTCTTGGCACCCTCTCCTAAAACCGCTCATTGGTGTCTTGAGGGAACAAGGTGGAGCCTTTCTGGTGGCTCCACTTTCTCTCGGGGCCAGTTGGCATTTGCTGTCCCCTCTGGCCATACCTGAGCTGAGCTTCCGTGTTTTTAAATTCTCCCTTCATGTTCATTATTAACCAGACACTAAAATGGGAGCCAAGGAAAGAAGATACACATTTTCAGTTGGGAATTAAAACAGCAAAGACTGAAAAAAAATAGTGCCTACCCAACCTGGCTGGTGTGGCTCAGTGGTTGAGCATCGACCCATGAATCAAGACTTCATTGGTTCGATGCCTGATTGTGGGTTTGATCCCCACCCAGCAGGGGGCATGCAAGAGGCAGCCAATCAATGTTTCTCTCTCATCGATGTTTCCGTCTCTCTATCCCACTCCCTTCCTCTCTCTCTAAAAATAAATAAAAACATAGTTTTAAAAAATATTGCCTACCCCAAAAAAATTACCAAAAAAGGAAGCAAACCATAAGCTAACAGGAGAAGGGTGTGGGCACGCGCTGCTGGGAGAGACATCTTTGGGCTGTGATTCACACACCTGTCAGCCTTGAAGGAAAAGGAGAGCCACGAGGGACTGTGATGGAAGAAGAGCCCTATAGGCCCATCCAGGCCCCTGAGCCTTTAACACATGGGAGAGTGAGTGTCAAAATTGGGCTTTTTCTATTGCCACTCACCTAAGCCAATTTGTAACACACTCTGAGCCAGCGGTCGCCAACCTTCCGGACCTCATGGACCACCAGTGGTCCGCAGACCACCGGTTGGCGACCGCCGCTCTGAGCAACAGGAAAGACAACTCTGGTCTTTACTGAGCGTCTGTCATCGTTGAAAGTCAAAAAAAGGATTAGGCCCAGCTCCTGCTTACAAGGAGCTCCCGCTGAGGACGGGCTGCAATAGGCCAGGCTTGTAATAGAATAGAACAGGCTGGACGTAGACCTGGAGGACTCTTGCTCCTAAGGCAGGGGAGCGCGCCAGCTACCTGTTTAATCAGAAACACGTGTTGAATGTCCTGTGGCTGCGGGTGGGTGCTGTACGGCACGGGGGTGCGCAGCATTCTTGGCTTGCGAGGAGCTGTTCCTGATGTGATCTCGAGCACTCAGCTGTGCGCGGTGTCTGCATGCGCGGCTTCTGTGTGTTTCCCTGGAGACTGACTGTCCTCCCGCGGGCACCGTGTGACCCCTGGCTGTCTGTCTGGAACAGACGTGACTGAACAGGATCAGTGGCTCCCCTTGAGCCTGACGTATTGGAGCTGCTTCTTTAATTTAATTGGAGATTATATTGACATTTCGCAAATTCTTTCAAGTGCAAACACTGAGTAATGTGTATGTAAATGACAGCACTAAACAAGGTCCATTAATGAGTAACTCCCAGGAGCTGGGAGAAAGCATTGAAATTGGGTGCCTCTGCTGCTAGGACTGGGAGAAATATGGGCCCAGTTTCTCACTTTAACCTGGGGGCTCATCAGGTCCTCGCCTACCTTAGTCCTGAGAGGAGCCTGCCTGCCCCCGGAGAGGACTTCTCTGGGCCGTGGATCCAGAGCAGACCCCGGGGCTGGACGCACAGAGTCTGGGCAGGTGCCATCCTCAGAGTAGACTCGGAAACTAGAAATGAAGAGAGCAAAGCAGATCTTTCAAAAACGTGTTCCATTTAGGAAGTTTTTACTGCTCTGATTGGGTAGAAGGCTCTTTGAGGTCTCCTAGGAGCTACATGGAAATGCCGACCATCAAAAAGTACAACTCTAACCTTAAGTAAATTTAAATAATTTCATATTAAATATTTTAATATTTAGAAAAAGACCTCTCCCCTGCCCTCTCCTTACCTGTGTGGAGCTCCGGGCCTCTGCACCGAGGCCCCTGCTTCCCTTGAGGATCTAGCAGTTGAGGGGGAAGAGGGCTAAAGCCAGTTCCGACCCAGAGCCGGAGATGACGAAGCTGTGCCTCTGCCTCACACAGCGCACGCACGGGTTGGCTCCAGGATTGTGAGTGCACATGGAAGGGATGGATGTAAAGAGGTGGGCTCGGCCTGCAGCAGGATAGATACAGGAGAAGGGGATCTCCTATCCTGTTTTCTTAGGGAAGCGAGGCCTGGGAGTATGGGCATGGTTCTCTGTCTGACCCTGTTCCTAAGGACGCCTGGGAGATATTTGTGGGACGCTGTGAAGC